GAGGTGACCAAAGGTCCTGGCGGTGACAGGACAGCAGCTTACTGGAGCTGGTGGGTGTTTTTGCTGCAGGAAGCCCTCTCCTCCTCCCGGCCCGGGGCCGTCTCCTGCTCCCCGGCATCGCTGTAGCTACGGGCGATTTTCTGCGCTCGAGTTTTGCAAAGCCATATTAAGAAAAATCTCGCCCTGGTGCTGCTGGCTCTGCTCCAGGCTGGAAATTGCATTCCCCTGCTTGAAATTCCTCCCGGAGTTTCAGATGGAGAATGTACAACTTCACTTTCCATCTTGAGCTGCTGTCACACATTTTAATAACAGGGCCTGGGCTCCGCCCCAGCGGTGGCCCCGTGCCAGGATTCTGGAGCGAACCCGTTGGAGTGGTTGTGGTGAGCGCTGGGATGGCTCTGGTGCTGCTGGAGCTGTGGCTCAGCCCTGGCCCCTCTGGCCCCCCCAGCCCAGCTCAGCTCCTTGGAAGGAGGGTTTGTGGGTTGGTTTTCCATCCTTGGTGATGAGTTTTGGTGTCTCCTTTGCCCCAGGTGATGGGAAACCCGGAGCAGACAGGATCAGCTCCGTGTGCTGCACCAAGCACTCCTGATCCTAATCAGAAGGAGACAGGATCCATTCCTCCTCCTTGCTTATATCCTAGGATATTCTATGATCTGCCCTGGCTTTGCTGGCCTTGGTGAGCTCTGGCAGAGATCCCACCTGGGTTTCTCCCTCCGTAAAACCTGCCACTCCCCCCTGCAGGATCAGGATAAATCCCTCTGCAATGTGACACTGATGATGATGGGTTTTTTCCAATACCCCATGGGCAAACCTCAAAGCTTGGCAGGTCTCTGGGGAAAGGCCAGCTGAGCTGGGTGACAAGGGGTGGCCTTTTCTGAGCCCCTCGGGCGGCATTGCCAGAGATCCCAGTGACATCCCTGTCCGAATGACTCAAGGGACAGCTCATGGTGGGGACCACAGTGGAGAGTGACCTTGTCTCCTTGTCTGGAGGGGCTGAGCTACTTTAGGGATGGTGACAGGGCTGCTCTTCCAGTCAGACCTGGGCACCCCCCATCCCTGGGGACAGGGCCACCTGCATCCCTAGGGATGGGGTTTGCCTCCCTGGCTGCTGGTGCTGCTTTGCCTCTCTCCGAGCTCCCTTTTATGGGCTGCTCTTTGAACCCGAGGAGTTGAGCTGTATTTGTACAACACACCACCATAATCAGGGAAACAGCCTTCCTAATTGGATTGGAAGGGCCCGGAGTAATTGGCTGTTTGGAGCAGCCGTTTCGAATCAAGCTGTGAGCGCCTTAATAAGTTTGCTCGCCTTTATCAGCCTGGCAAACCCCGCCGTGGAGGTGACCTGCTAAATGATCTCCTGTGTTCCCAGAGCATTTTTCATCCCTGCTGATCCCTTGAGCCCTTTCCTTTCTCTCATTGTAATAACAAACTTTGGGAAATCCCAGAGCACCCGCGCTGCAGCTCCCGCCTGCCTGCGGCAGAGGGGGGGGCTCTGGAGGAGGGTCGTGGTGCTGAGAGGGCTGGTTGGGATGCAGGAGTCCCATCCTGCTGGATTTGGGGTGGGGGACAGGGTGGGCAAGGGGGGCATTGAGCTCACGTGGTGCTGTGCTGATATTGCTGTGCTTGGCCCTCAGGGCTCGTCACTGGGCTGCCCCTGATGACCCTCTCCTGCTTTGGGACCAGGATTTCAGCCCACAGTGGGAACAGCTGACTCCAGGTGAGCTTGGGATGGGACACAGGGGGATTTGGAGGTGGCTGTCCTCAGAGCTTCCCCTGTCCCGGTGTCTCTTTCCTTTAGGGCTGAGCTTGCACAGAGAAGAGGGAATACACCCAGCTGAAGGAAACCCACCCCAAAAAACCCCAATTCAACCCACATTTATGTGCACAACTACTCCTGGCATCAGCTCTCATGGCCTTTTGAAAGGGTCACTGGACACTCCCAGCTGAGGCAAACTGCAGATCTGGTGCTGGGTCTGCATGGACAGAGTGACACCAACCCTGAGCATCCCACGGGCTGGGACACCTCTGGTACCCCCTGGAAGCCTGGCAGCCCAGGAATCATCACTGCTGTGGGAGCTCCCAACCAGCTTGGACCTTTGTCCACGCTCCAGACCCTCCATGGAGCATGCCAAGGTGGGATGCCAGGACACAGGGCATGGCAGTGCCTGTCCCTGCTCATCCCAGGGGTGAGGATGAATCCCCCTAGTGCCATTCCCAAGGCATGGCTGGCTGTGACAGCTCCACACTGTGCTGCTCCCATGGTCCATGCCCTGCACAGCCACCCCTGGGTGACCACTGCTAGCCGAGGGCACCGAGCAGGGGGAGCAGCAGAGCTGCTCATTGCAGAACTCCTTTATTTCAACCAAAACGTCCCGATTTTGCTAAAAAATTGCACCTGAGCTGGTTGTCCTCAATTACCTGAGCTGCAGGCAAGGCAAGGAGCTGGTTCCTATCCAATGGGGTCTGAGCTGAATCCAAGGACGCTCCTGCAGGGCTCCCCCAGCTCATCCAGTGCAGGACTGGGGTGGCCCTGGGCACAGCACAGGCCCCCAGAGCGCTCTGTGCCTCCTGCCCTCACTGTGGTGCCTGGAGCGAGCCCCCACCTCCTGTTTTAAGCCTTTCCCCTCAATTTCGGAGGTGAGAATGGAAGACATGCTGCTCCTCCGGCCGCCCCGGGGGGGAGCTGGCAGTGCCAAGAGGCCCCGTGGCATCAGCTCTGTGCCCTGCACTGAGGATGAGGAGGGTGGGAATGCTCTGCTCCCCCTTCCCGCCTTTCCAGTCTCCCTGGCTCTGCTTGGACACAAGTGTGTCAGAATGGATAGACTCTTGCCAAACGTTTCCATTTTCACAAATTGGCGTTTTCCAACAACAACATTCCCCCCCAACCCAAACAGGGAGCTGGAGCCGTTCCCGACGCTCCCGCCCGGCGTGGAACAGTTCCTATTTCCAATCCTTACGTAAACCCAACAAGAGCTGGCAAGTGCCACGCCACGGATTCTGGACGCGTTTGTATTTATCAAACTGCTCTCGAGAACAGATTCCCTTCCTGCATGTAATCTTTCCTGTTCGGTTTTCCCCGGGGAACCTTCGCCTTGGGAGCTGGAAGGGATCTCCCGTTCTTTCCTCCCGCTGAAAAGCTCCAGTGCGGGACGGGCCGGCCACGAGAGGGCACAAAGCCCTGCAGCCAGGCAGCCCTGTCACCCTGTCACCCTGTCACCGTGTCACCCTGCAGCTCTGCAACCGTGTCACCCTGCGGCCAGGCAGCCCTGTCACCGTGTCACCCTGTCACCGTGTCACCCTGCAGCTCTGCAACCGTGTCACCCTGCGGCCAGGCAGCCCTGTCACCGTGTCACCCTGTCACCGTGTCACCCTGCAGCTCTGCAACCGTGTCACCCCGCGGCCAGGCAGCCCTGTCACCGTGTCACCCTGTCACCGTGTCACCCTGCAGCTCTGCAGTCCTGTCACCCTGCAACCATGTCAGCCTGTCACTGTGTCACCCTGCAGCTGTCACCCTGCAGTTCTGTCACCCTGCAGCCCTGTCACTGTCGCCCTCCAGCCCTGCAGCCATGTCACTGTGTGTCATCCTTTCAGTCCTTTCACCCTTTCAGTCCTTTCACCCTGCAGCCCTGTCACCCTGCAGCCACACCCGCAGCCCTGCCACTGTCACCCTGCAGCCCTTTCACCCTGAAGTTCTGTCACCCTGCAGCCACACAGTCATGCAGCTGCATCACCCTGCAGCCATGTCACCCTGCAGCCGTGTCACCCTGCGGTTGTGTCACCCTGCAGCTGTGTCACCCTGCAGCTGTGTCACCCTGCAGCTGTGTCACCCTGCAGCCCTGTCACAGTGTCACCCTGCAGCCCTGTCACTGCACAAGCTTAATAAGTTAATTAAGACAGTGCTGATTTCAGAGAGAGAGGAGGAAGGCTTTGCACAGGGATGGGAACTGTCCCAGGGAACCATCCCAATCCATCGTCCATCACCCGTGGATTTTCACCCACACCACCTCAGCTGCTGCTCTGGGGCTGGTTTGGGAATGTGTCGGGGAACGGGTGGAAATCCAGGACAGGCCTTCCCCTCCCAAACAATAACCACGGGCACGTGGGGGCTGTTTCTTCTGCAGTGGGAGCCTGGGAGCTGCATTTCCAGGGTACTGGGGTTTGTGCCCATTTATTTCCAGCCTGGTGCCTGCCTGGGATCCCACAGCACTGTGGAGCTGGAGCTGCAGCCTCCCTGGTGGGTCCCTTTCCATGATCCCAATGGCCACGAACACCCACCGGAGCCCCGGGAATTATAAGGAGAGGGGGAAAATATAAAAGAAGAAAATTTGATGGGGAAATGTGGGAAATCATGGGAAAACATGTGAAAACACAGGCAAATGTGTGGAAATATGGGGAAATGTGGGAAATGGTGGGGAAATGTGGGGAAACATGGAGAAATATGGGAAAATGTGGGGAAACGTGGAAAATCAAGTGAAAATATGGAAAAACCTGGGCAAACGTGGGGAAACGTGGGAAAACGTGGAGAAATGTGGGAAAATGTGGGGAAACATGAAAAACCGAGGGAAAATACAGAAAAACCTGGGAAAACCTGGGGAAATATTGGAAAGCATGTCCCCCAGCACGGTGGGGGCAGGAGTGCTTCCCCTTGGCGGGGGCTGCCCTGTCAGGGTGACCCCCATGCGTGGGGTGCCCCTGTCCCCGGGGGGACCCCGGATGTGCCCCCCCCGTGTGCCGCGCCCCCCCCCCCCAAGTCCCCTCCCTCCTTCCTTTCCTTCCCTCCCTCCTTTCCTTCCCCTCCCTTCCCCTCCTCGGGGCGTCGCCGCCCCCACGCGCGTGTCTTCGCCCTCCCCCGCCCCGCGGGTGGGCGTGGGGGCGGCGCGGGAGGGGAAGGGGTGGCGGGGGGAGGTTGGTCCGGGGGGCCCGGGGCCGGGCCGGGTGCGCGGGGGAGCGCGGAGGGGGGCGCGGGGGGCGCGGCGGCGGTGCGGGATGCGCGGCCCCCGATGGGATGTAGCGGGCGGCTGCTGGGACCCGCCGGGGGCCGCCGCGCCTCGCTGCTCCTCACCATGATCCTCTTCTTCACCTACTTCTTCTCCTGCCTGCCCGGGCCCTGCGAGCCGCTGCCGCCCGCGCTGCTGCTGCCCGCGCCCGGCGCGCTGCCCGCGGGGCCGGGGGGCGCGGGGGGCGCGGGGGGCGCGGGGGGCGCGGGGGGCGGCAGCCGCCGGTTCCCCCAGGCCATCATCGTGGGCGTGAAGAAGGGCGGGACGCGGGCGCTGCTCGAGTTCCTGCGGGCGCACCCCGGGGTGCGGGCGGTGGGCGCGGAGCCCCATTTCTTCGACAGGTGCTACGAGAAGGGGCTGCGCTGGTACAGGTAAGGGGCGCGGCGCGGGGGGCTCCCGGCAGTGCGTAATTAAGCGCCGAGCGGTGTTAATTGTCGCCCGGGACGGGACGGGGCGGCTCTGCAACAGGCTGGTCCGAGCGCGGCGGGTCCCGGGAGAGAAAGGGGGTCCGAAGGGGCTGAGAGGGGGGAAGCGGGGAGGGGGATGTGGGTCCCGGGCGGGACGAGAAGGGGGGCGGCAGCTCCGACCCTCGCCTGGAGAAGGGGCTGGGGGCTGCGGCTGAGTTCGGGAGCGGTGCGAGTGTGAGAACCGATCCCGTGTCACTTCTGTCCTCGTATCCCTCCGTGTCCCTCCCCGTGTTCCCCCCGTCCCTACATCCTCCTTTTCCTCCCTGTCCCCGCGCCTCCCATCCCGCATCCCATCCGGCCAGGGACGAAACCGGCAGCAAAAATTTGCTCTCTTAACTCTCCAGCCCTTGCGATTTTAACCTTTATCACTTCACCCTCAGCCGTCCCACCGGGTTTCTTTAGGAATTGTTTTATTGGCGTGGAACCAGGATCTCAGGCTTGATCCTGTCTGTTCTCGGAACGGGGACCGGGAGAGGGGTAAATCGCTGTCGGTGGGTTTGTGGCAAAGGGCAGAGCCGGAGTGATCCAAGGGAGTTTGTTTTTGGAGGATTTCAGTGGAATTGAACTCTTCAGGCGATAAAGCCTTCGGAAGAGCAGCTACTGTGCATGTGGTGTCTATTAAAGTGCCGTCTCCCGGCCAACTCCGGAGCGGCCGGGCCAAGCGGAGTCGGAGCGATAAGTCCCTTGAAGTCGGTGGTGGAATCTGGTCCGTTATTTTGAAGAGAGTCCAAATGTGTCGATGTATAAAAGCGCTGCGGTGTTCTCGGGGAAACATCTGAAAATAATAAAAGGAGTAGCTCTCCCTGTCCTTCCTGCCTCTCCATCCCCTGCTCCCCAAGCCCCGCGGGAATACCGTGTTTCTTTACGTGCTCTTAATGTTTCCCTGCGTTTTGGGGGCGGCTGCAGCTTCCCCATCCTTGCCAGAATAATAACCTATGAAAAATCAGCGTGCTTAATGGAAAGGATAATTTTAGTGGTAATTTTACCCGCAGAGTTTCAGCTCTGTGAGCCCACATCTGGGCTGTAAAGTTAGGGCTTAACACACCTTCAAACCCAGTAAGTAGCGGCGCTTATTTTTACGGCTGCGTTAATATCCCCGTGATTTATTAGCTCGTTCCTCAGCACCGTTTGTGTCTGTGCTGCTCCAGAAACAATAATGATGATAACTAATCTTTTGGGGCGAGGACTGCAAGATAGATCTCACTTGGCAGAATGGGAGTTTGATGACTGGGAGCACATAATTAAAGCGGGGAAGATCGAACGCTTTCATATCTCTCGCCGTAGCCCAGCGAGGCGTCCGCAGGATGGACCACAGAGAGGAGGAGAAATAAATCTCAGCTCGGATGGCTGTGCCGGGAGTTTTCAGTGCTGTAAGCGCTTGCAGGGAGCCTGGCCTGGTACCAGCGAGATGTTTTAAGATGATTCTGCATATGGTTGTGGTAAATTCGGAGAAATGGAGCGGGGAAGGTTTTGGGAGCGGGGCAAGCGGCCGCTGGGCTGGGGAGAAGCTGCATCCTTTGGAGGGAGGAAAAAATCAGTAGATGTTTTGCTTTAACTCTGCATAGAGTAAGTGTGTTTTCAATCACACTCACAACTATTTCCCTTCGCTTCCTCTCCTCTTTGCCTCTTGTTTTGTCTTCTCCCAAGACCTTGCCTATACTGAGGGATTTCTTTCCCTGGGAAAGCCAGACAGAGCTAAATGTTTAAAGCTGGGGTGAGATGGAGTGGAGCAAAAGAGAAGTTGGACAGAAATTCAGGTTTTTCCAATGAATATCTCAAAAGTGGTGTAAACATTTTTAAGATATTTGAACTTGCTAGGAAACCAAAATTACACCAACTGCTTCTCGCGCCAAGATATGTGGCCCGAAGGCACCTGTAGGTTGCTGCTTGTCTTGAGAAAATGTGGAAAAAAAATTCCCTTGGAAATATTGCTCCAGAATTATTTTGTTCTTACTTGGAAGCTCAGTCCTGTAGCTATTTTGTTGCTGTGCCAGGAGTATCTGCTTGTGGGTGATGAGTAGTTTACACTATAAGCTACCCACTGAAATAATTTATTCTTACTGTTTGTTTTTATTTAATTTAAATTTGAAATAGCCCAAAGTCCCTTTTTTTTAACAGTGAAAAGAAAATATTCTGCGAAAGCATCTCATTCAGAATCCCTTGAGTCACTACAGGTTGAGCTAATTCTAAGAAGATTAAACACCTTTTCTAGGCTGCAGCATAAATTACCTAATGGCTAATCCAAGCATTATGGGATGTTTTATCCTCGAAAAAAACACTGGTTTAATTTTTTTGGCACTCAGTGCTGCTTGAAGGAAACCTGAATAAAAAGAAGAGGCGATGCTGGTGTGTCTGCCCCACTTTGGGGTGTGTGAGGGTCCTGTTTGGGAGCCTGGCACTGTCTGTCTGTCTCTGCTTTATGGGAATGTAGGTGCAGGGAAATGGTAAGAACTGAATGGAATCCCAGGTGTTTGCTGTGACTTTTTAGGAATTCATTGCAAAGCTTTGAGGAGCTGCTCGGCTTGAGGGACCAGGGCAAGATCCTGCCCTGGCCTGTGGGAATTGAGGAAAATGGTGCTTGTGGGCTGAGTGGCTGCGGGGTGAAGGGATTTGAGGGGTGGAACCCCCTGGGGGTGTGTGGGACAGCACCTGCTCCCAGCCCAGAGACCCCCCGAGCAGATTTGGGCTCATGGGTGGTGTTTGGGGCGCTCGGGGTGTTCACACCTCGTACGATCCCTGTGCAGGGGCTCCCATGGGCTCTCCAGCAGACACTGCTCTGCTCCACTGGTGACATTTCGGGGGCGTAGCGGAATCTTTGCATGGATTGTTCCCTCTTTGGTTGCCAGAGCTGGTTTGTTTCCCACGCAGAGGTTCCGGCTGCTCCATCGGTCTTGCCCTGGGATTCGGCACAACCTCGGGAATTCTGGGGCTGTGGGGAAAGGGGCAGGAGAAACGGGGGGAACAGCAGCTTTGGGACACATGGCAGTGCTGGGACAGGGGCTTTGCAGAGGCTGGTTTGCATAAAAGGGAGTTTGAGGGAATTCAAGTTTGAGGGAATTCGTGTGGAGAACACTCAGCTTGTCCAAAGAAGTTTCCTCATCTCCATCTGCCAAAACTTTGTGGCAACATCAGCTCAATGTGGCGCTTTTCCTCCGTCTTGTGTTTCCTCACATGATCTATTATCCCAGGCCCTCTTTTCCATCTTGTCTTCCTCCTTTTTTCCAGTAGCCAAAGAAAGAGTTAGACAGGAGTGGGGCTGGGCCCCGTGTGTCCGTCGGGGTTGTGCTGTGTGAGCTGTGCCCTGGATGATGGCACGCACTGCATTTCGTAGGAATTGTAAAGAATTCCATGTTTTCTTACAGTTTGGGCCACAAGTATTAAAAAGTACTATGGGATGACTAGTGAGTGGCCAGGCTGGAGCTCCTCAGCCGGGTGTGGTGGGACACAAGGAGCTGGAATCCTCGCCGCGCATCCTCTGGCCCTGCAGAGCCAGCCCGGAGCTCCAAGTCTCCCAGAGACCAAATTTAGCTTTTTGTTATCATTTTCCCTTCTGATCTGTGCAGGTTTGCAAGAGGGGCGAGGAACTTTTCGTGGGGTTCCTCACCCATCTGTGCTCCTGTGCCCGGAACAGGGCCGGGATGTCCCAACCCCGGCACATCTCCCTGTGCCCGGGGGAGACGGGGAGCAGAGAGCTGCTCCATGGGATATGTGGGGTTTACCCCCCTCCCTTTCTTCAGACCCATTCATAGGAGCCAATAACGCTCTTGAAAGGCATCCAGGATTTCTTGAGCCAGACTTTGTTATCTCGGAACCTCGCAACCCCGAAGCCTTTGAGCGGCAGGGAAAGGACGCGGCTCCGGCGCTGCTCTTTTGACTTTTGCTGTGAGTGTTACTGGCAGTTGAAAAGTGGAGCTAAGTAGATGCCTTGAGGGGTTTTTGTGTGTGTTGTGATTGTACAGACAGATCAAGACACTCTATAGCGCTGAGCTGTTGAATAAAATCAGCTCCTCTGGAGTCGCCAGGCTGCGTTTTGGCACCGGGCTTGGATCGCCTTGCAGGGAGAGCTTTTCACAGGCGCATTTAAGAAACACATAGGTGGGAAGGGACAAAGGAATCCGGCAGGAGTCAGATGGCGATGCACTGAGACCTGCTCCGGGACATTATCTTTATTCATTGACACCGGCTAATCTGCTCTCCTGATGGACTCGGTTTCAGCGCTGAGAGTGGCCCTTGTTTTCCTGGTGCCTTTGCAGACATTCAGCCCTGCAGCTTCTTGGCTTCATTACTTTGCAATCTCTTCTCTTTTTTTAACTTCCATTCAAAAATGAGACCTTTCTGTCTCAGCTTCCCTTATTCGCACCCCCGTGTTTGGAAAATAAAACCTAAAATACAAAGAGAACATGCAGGAAACCTGAGAAAAAGCTAATTTTAACTAAGAACCAGATACTTTAAAGCTTTTATTTAAGGCATAGTATTTTTGATTGGCTTTTGTGCAGTGTTTTAGTCCAAGCTCTACACTTGAGACCGGGTTTAAGTGCTGGGTGCATCCGGTCTCCCTGATGATGTGCCCCTGTTTTCTGCTCCCTAACACATGTCCAGCTCTGCCTGGACTTGGGAGGCAATCCATAATACGTGCAAAGTTTGGGTTTCCGCAAACTGCTTTCACGTGGGATTAAAAATAGCTTTTACTGCCACGATGAGGAATTAACATTTGAAACCATTTAAAGGGCTCCTTGACAGAGATTACTGTGGGTGGGGGGAGAGAGGGGCTGTGCCTGTCCTGTTTTAGGGGGCCTTTCCCCCCTGACACAGAGTAGGGGATGGGTGAGGGTCTGGAGCCTGACTCAGCCCTTCTGCTCCCCACTTTCACACTGACATTACTCCCTTGTTTCCATGTGGCCGCT